ACCATCAACCCGAACAGCAGCCTGCATGCCTGAATGGAAGCCGTCAATCAGCTGGATGAGTGACCCAGGCACACCATACACCTCAAGGGCCAGCAACAGTGCAGCGCGCGGTACCGAGTCGTACGCCTTGCGGAGATCGATGAAAACGAGAAAGGCCTTACAGCGGTGCTCGAATGCCTTCTCGACTACCTGTCGCACGCAAAAGATGGCATCTGTGCAGGATCGCCCGCGCCGAAAACCACATTGGCTTTCAGGGAGATGTGCCTCAGCAAGAGGTTGCAGCCGGTCCTGAATAACACGTGCGAGAAGCTTCCCGACGACGTCCAATAAGGCTATTCCCCTCCAGTTGTCACACTTGCTCAAGTCACCTTTTTTTGGAATAGGGACGAGCACAGCATCTTTCCACTCCTGAGGCACAGATGACGCTGACCAGCATGTGGAGAAGAGTGCATCCAGGTGTGGCCGAAGAACAGTAAAGCCGTGCTTCAACAGCTCCGCAACGATGAGAGACGAACCAGCCGACTTGCCGTTGGCCAGATGATGGAGAGCGCACTCAATATCCACAGCCGTTGGAGGGCATGCCAGGCTGTCGTCAACTTCCCGGCAGGACAACTGCTGGAAGACAGAGACATCGAACACACTAATGACATTGAGAACACGGGTGAAATGTTGCTGCCAGCAAACACGCTCTTCCTCCGCTGACACACACAGGGTTCCATCAGATTTGCGAATGGAATGAGAGGCCACAGGTTTCATACCATTGTAGCAGCGCTGGATGTCCCGGATGGCTGACCAGACGCGCTCCCCACTGAACTTGCCAGACTGTGCCATATCCGCCTTTCTCTGCAACCAGACACGCTTTGCCGTTCGAACTGCAGTACGCGCTGCACTACGGGCCTTGCGGAAAGCTGAAAGGTCAGCGGGATCAGCAGACTGAAGCCACTGGGCATAGGCACGGTTTCGATGTTGCAGCTTGGGTTCAAGGATTGTTGCGCTGTCTGCAAACCAGTCAGGCTGACGTCGAGATTTCCGTGCAGGGATGGAAGCTTCGGCAGCATCTACAATCGCCGACTTGATAGGCTGCCAGGTGTCTTCATGGGTGACGTGACACGATTTCAGTCGATCACCAAGAGCACTTCGGTACACTGCCCTGTTGCACTCAACAACTTCCCGCTCCTCCTCACTCATACCCGTACACGTCTTCAATTGGCTTACATCGAACACGCTACGTTTCCCAGGGTTTCGCGGTGGCAGGCGCTGGCGGTGGACTGGTGCCGGAAGGCGATAGGTCAGACACACCAATCTGTGATCAGTGCTACACTCTGCACGGCGAACAACATGACAGTCCATGCAGTTGGCACGATCCGCTCGCCTAGTGAAGACAAAGTCGATACAGTGCCATGCCTGCGAGCGTGGGTGTTGCCATGTGTGCAGTTCTGCGTCCCGCTTCTTGAACCAGGTGTTACAGATTTGCAGACCATGCAGAGCCAAGAACAAGAGTAAACGTTCACCAGACTCATTCATAGCTCCAGTACCAAAAGGACCGCGAACTCTGTGCCACTCGTCATCACGCTGCCCTGAACCAACTCGAGCATTGAAGTCTCCGAGTACGATGAGTTTATCAGAGACCGGAATTGACAGAAGCACGTGTTCAAGCGAATTGAAAAATTTGAATTTTTCATCACGACTACTGCGGAAAGTGGGAGCGTAGCAAACAAGAACATGAACCCACTGCGACTTGCCAGACTCCAGAGCAAACTGCAACTTTACGACCATCACACGAGAAGACACAGCTGTCCACTGTCGGCCGCCTGCTGCAAACGCCAGCGCTGAGCGGCCCCGCATCACGAGCGCGACTCCCTCGCCACGAGCGAAATTTTCCACGGGTGTCGGTCGACCAGAAGCAACAACAACAGCATCCTCAACATTGTATACATTGTTGCCAAACCACTTCGTCTCTTGGAGTCCAAGGGTCTCGATACCAAGTCGTCGAGCTTCGCGAACGACGATGTTGATCTTCCTATCTTCCACGATGCAATTCACTTGGTTTGAATTTTTCAAATTCAAATTTCGAGTTGTCGCCGTCTCAACTGGGCCATCACAATTCACCAGACTGCGGACATTCCACGAGCCAAATTTTATCCACGACCTCCGTCTCCTCTTTCTCCTCGTCTCCTTTCTCGCCATTGTACTAAGGGCTTACTAGATAGACGTCCGAGTAGAGAGCCAATCTACACGAACGGGCGCGCGCAGGACGACGACAAGTGGTGGCAACAGGAAACCACCCAGTCTTGACGTCGTGAGCTCCCACGCGCGCAGTCAAGGGCCACCGCCCTTGGGACGACCCTGGAAGCCCAGAGTCGTCCCACGGAGAAAGAACTTTGGACGAAAAAACTGCCAAAGGACGAGAGCTAAAAAGTTCAAACCGTCCCCAACACTGCCTGAGGACACACCCACACACCCACACACACACACACACCCACACCCACACACATACACACACACACACACACACACACACACATACACACACACACACACACACACACACCCACCCACCCACACACACACGCACCCACCCACACCCACCCACACACACACACACCCACACACACCCACGCACCCACACCCACCCACGCACCCACACGCACCCACGCACCCACACGCACCCACGCACCCACACCCACCCACGCACCCACACCCACCCACGCACCCACACCCACCCACGCACCCACACCCACCCACGCACCCACACCCACCCACGCACCCACCCACGCACCCACCCACGCACCCACCCACACCCAAACCCACACCCACACCCACACCCACACCCACACCCACACCCACACCCACACCCACTCTGTAGACGAATTCCAGGTCATTCTTCTTTTCCATTGTGTACTGTTCCTCGTCAGTGTGCCGTTCTGTGTGGAGTGTACACGCGCATGTGGTGTCCGTTGTGTCTGTTTATGTATGGTCCGTGCGCTGGAGTACTGCCGCCGTACAAGTTCACTGCCTTTCAGGCAGTGAACTTGTACGGTGGCAGTGCCCTAGCGTACGTACCGTGCACCGGGATTTATATTCTATATAAATCACGCGCAGGATTTATACTGGCCAATATAACCATGGCTAGACGAGCGGTGATTGGCTGAAAACAGGCCCTCCGTACCGTACCATGGTATAAGTATAGATTATAGACCGGTTAGGAGGTCTATACAGGATATATAGACCGAGTAAAAGACCGAGGTCCCCCGAGGTCTTTTACGAGGTCTCTATATCCTGTATAGACCAACTATGAGGTCTATAATCTATTTATCGTGTTCTCCACGCAATAGTTTCTCTTCATATACGACATATCCTTGTAATTCTAGTATTATACTATAGCCTATACCGCATTGTACTGCATTGAAAGTCAAGATCATTGTTTAAACTAGGTTCAGCATCGGTAGCACAGTGGCTGGGTGGTAAGGAAGAGTGACTGAGATTCACAAGGTTGTGGGTTCAAATCCCATCTTGTGTATTTCTGCTTTCTTCAAAAATTTCTTTTTCTAAGTTGGAGAGAAAATTTCTAAGTCCAAGAAGTTCTAAGGAGTCAAATATAAGTAGTCAAATATATCGTGTATTTGACTAAGCAGTCAAATACGCGATATATTTGACCGCTTAGGTATCAGGGAAATTAGTGGGGTCAAATACTAAGAAGGCGATAAATTATTATATAATATGGGGAAATAACAGCGTATACCAAATAAGGAAGGCCCCGGGCCTTGTGTGAAGAGTGAAGACATAAAATAAAGACGATTATGAACCCGTTTACGGGAGATAGATAAATAATAGGGAGGTTCTGCTATACGTGAAACGTAGAGAAATCACGTAGAGAGCAGGTGTCTGGGTTAGAGTCTACGGCTTCGCGTGTTTTGGCTCCAGATTTCTACGCGGAGATGGGGTTCTCTACGTTGTGGCACACGCAGAGAAAATGCGTACGGATTTGCTGGATATCGATCAAGTGCATGCAGAAAACTGCCAAATATGGAAGGGAATATTCCCAGTACACATTCCACGTGACTTCTAGTTCTCTAGGTGAAACGTAGAGCAGAACAGCATTTCTTTACGTTACGGGAACGCGAAGAAAGTTCGCGTGATTCTTTGCGTCGCGTTCCCAAAACGTAGAGCAGAACCTCCCTAATTAGACCCCTAAATAAGGCATACTTGTCCCGTAGAGGCCTAAAAAGGCACGTGTCAATAGTACTAGTATGGATACGACACTTTCAGAGCGTGCTGAAGGCAAGTTACGTAATGAAGGCAGCGCGCCGCGCACTGGCCACTGGGCCATAACCACAGTTGCATACTCTTGGTATGGGGTTACAATACTCTTATCTTGCTTATATACACAGCAAAAGAAATCAACAGATGCAGTAAACGATGCGTTAGATGCAATGCAGTTGCAATCATAGGGGTGACAGACAACAAATGCAGTATAAGGTACAATAGGTTCAATGCAGTTGCAACCATAGAGTTGTCCAGCAACAAATGCTGTTGAGAGCGAAAAAAGCGCAATGCTGCTATAGATGTATACTCTAGAGTTCATAAACCGCGGAGTCAAGTTGTATAATCCAGGAAAGGTGCGTGAACTGCAGGTAAGGTTAAAAGCTAAAAGTTGTATTTTTGGTTGGTGCCAGAAATTTCTGGCACCAACCAAAATGCAGAGCTAAATGCTCTGCCGTATGATTGATTAATTAATCTCAGGGAGGGGCGGATGGGAGAGACGGGGCTCTGGCGGGATTTTACGGTATGTACATGAATAAAAATAATATGAATTTGGGACTACACAGTTGCAACAATGATGTACAAATGCCCTCTTGTGTACGCTCTCCAGCAAACCCTCTAGCGTACACACGAGGGCGTGAATTTTCGATGAAGCCCTTCGTTCGTACCATGCTTGATTCTACGCAACAAGTCATAATGATTGCACAAAGCCGTTTTTACGCTTATACCCTTGTCTTCTTCTTCTCCAAAACTTGACTGGAAGCATATTTCTACCTTCCTCCTGTGTGTGGATCAGCACATCCGCAAGTCTTGTGAGCCTTTGCACCCCGGTGAGTAATAAAATTGCGGGACGAGTTGTCCAAGGAAATTATTATTTGCTATACTTCTTGTCTTCTGGGTTTTTTTGTCGTGACACCCTGATTCTTCTTCCCGGTTTTGTCGGTTTGTTGTTTCCGAACCTCTTTGAATAGTGCAAGGCTTGACAGTCGCTGCAATCCTTCTTCCGTACGCGCACTGTTGCCATAGTCATGTCGGCGCTTCCAATGGTGAGTGCAACGGCTACGAATTTGCGTTTTTTAGTCATGTAACGAACCACGGTTTCCACGACCGGTTGTTCCTTTTCCCGCGGTTCGGGTGAGACTTGGTTCGACCGTGTTTTGGTTGTGTTTTTGTTTGTTTGTTTGTTTTCTTTATTTTGATCAGCTAAAACCAAACGGGCAGAACTGTCCAGTGGCAAGGGAGCGAATGATGAGCGTCATAACGACCCCCCAGATAGGCGTTAGCCTTTGGGTAATCCGGAAATAAAAGATTATTATATTCACTATGGAGTCAAAACGTTTCCGGGCAAATTGAGCCAGACTACATTTTTGTAGAAGGAGGATTTGCAGAACGCTAGTACATAAAGGGGAGTACCAGAACAAAGGCGCGGCTGAAGCCTAAGCAAGAAAGCAACCAAGTCCAGAAATGTTGTTGTGCACCAAAACAGAGAGAGAGAGAAGAGAGAGAGAGAGAGAGAGAGAGAGAGAGAGAGAGAGAGAGAGAGAGAGAGAGAGAGAGAGAGAGAGAGAGAGAGAGAGAGAGAGAGATAGAGAGAGAGAGACAGAGAGAGAGAGAGAGAGACAGAGAGAGAGAGAGAGAGACAGAGAGAGAGAGAGACAGAGAGAGACAGATAGAGAGATAGAGAGAGAGAGAGAGAGAGAGAGAGAGAGAGAGAGTTTCCGTTTCCGTGTCCGTGGGAACACTACAGGTCTACTCTCCATATAACGTAATCTCTGGGACCATGCAAACATTATGTTATATCGAGAGGTATGTTATGTAGAAAACCGTGTGTAAAATACAAGATGCACCTCAAAATGAAGAGTATTACAAGGCGGGCTCAACCGTGCAAACATATACACACTGTACCACCACAGACATCAGATACCATCAATGCTGCAGAATATATGCACATAGGACTTAACTGGCTAGCTACGGCTACAGCTTGATTGTACTGCGCACGTGAATTTACGTTGTATCGAGATTGTACACGTCGGGGACTGCGCCGTAGGGTGCGTTATGCCGAGGTTTACGTTATGTAGGACTAAATTGGCCTAAACTGCCTAGCTACAGCTACCGCTTGATCATACCATGCACGTGAATTTATGTTGTATCGAGAGTGTGCACGTCGGGGACCGCCGTAGCATGTGTTATGTCGAGGTTTATGTTATGTAGGATTATGTTGTGTATAACAAATTTTGTATGGGAGTGATGCTGTTTCGGCTCGGGATTTGATTTTTTTATGTAAGAAGGAGGTTTATGTACAAGTGAGAGTTGTTATATCGAGAGCAGACCTGTACCAGCTTGTACAATGTACAGTTGTGGCAAGTGAAATCCGACACTTGGCATAAGGGACTGCACCATGCAGTCTGCCGCCCCGGCAGCCCTGCATGCGTACAGTACATGTGTTACATACAACTTTATCTGTCTGATGAGAAAACTCGCACTCATCACTGCCAAGGTTCAAAAGGTGCTTGGAAAAATGAATGGGGATTGGATTCCAATACTCCTTATGTGTACCATACCTGTGAACTGTGTGTATCTACGCTGTGACCTTTCGATCTTTTTCGCATGCATACGGCTCTATAGTACAAATTAGGTGCAGTGTATTAAATTTTTTTAATTCTTTTTTTACTATGTTCACATTAAACCTCCTTGATGTCCATTTGTGGCGCTGTCCCCTATGGCAAATGTCGGATTTCACTTCCCACCACTGTAGTTTTTATTGTATGAAATTCAATGTAAAGTCCGCTGCAAACCCCTTGCAAGATTATTATTATTATTATAGACAACACCTCATGGCATGAGAAGAAAATCAGCCAGTACGGGAGATGTGGGCGTTAACCAAACATGGTGAATAAAAGAAGAACAAGATTTGCTTGCCTGTGCACACTTAGTGCCACTTACCCCATGCACTGTCGCCGCTAGCGTATGAGAGTCCATCTCAGACCATAGCGCGAAGATAGCGTTGCTACGGTAAACTAGCATTGTAAGAACTAAAAACACTTGTGACGGCATTTCAAGCCATCATTTCGAAATCACGCAAAGGAAAAAAGACAAGGGTTTGTTTCTTGAGCACATCAGAGTTTTCAACAAATTTGCAGCGACCTTTTAGCTACAGCTTCTGTAACATTCTCCCAGTTCTTCTCGCAACCATGCTGAACGACGCAGCGTCTTTTCAGATAGGCCCTGACAGATTATGCTAATATTTTTGTGAAATTATGCTTTTCGCACTGTTGAAAAAATTGCAGAATTATGCTATTTTTATGCTAAAAGTTATCATATGAGCCGGCACAAGCAAAAACCTGCCTAATGTCGCCAGAGGTCGATTTTTAACTGTTGTGCTCATTCTGTGCAGAATTTCATCAGGAAGCTGTAAAAAAAAACAGGATGGAAAAATACTGAGGGAGTGCAAAGATATGATCATTTATATAGGCTCCGTTTTGAGTTACTTTGCAGCAAATTGTCACGAAATCATGTGATAATTGCAAATAGCGCCAGTGCATTTTTCAGGTACTTTTAAGATATGACAAAGCCAGCTAAATCCTCTCTGGGTGGAGGTGGAATCAGCTAAATCCTCTCTGGGTGGAGGTGGAATCAGCTAAATCCTCTCTGGGTGGAGGTGGAATCAGCTAAATCCTCTCTGGGTGGAGGTGGAATCAGCTCAATCCTCTCTGGGTGGAGGTGGAATCAGCATGATAATGTCCTTTACAGTGAGTAACATGTCATCTAACAGGTTAGATCATTCTGATGGACTGCTATGTACAAGTATAGAGTCGGATACAATTGACACGCGGAAATACAATTACATACGAATATAGAAATGGTCATCGGCAACATCGGCAAATACATATTTACAACATTGTCCTTCGACAGGATCAGACTCAAGCATGAGATTAAGAAGGAGCTGGACTAACTTCCTCTTGGTACTGCGGAGGTACATGCTCTCGTATCTGGCTGTACAGGTACTGCTTGCGCTCTGCCGAGAGACCACCTGGAGAGATCGTACTGGGCAGGCCGGCCTACAGCAATTCATCAGAAGGGACCTTCAAAATCTGGACCTGGCATTCAGGAGAATCAGCGGCCTCCTTGACAAACAGCACACCAGGATCAGTACGAGTTGTCCGCATGTAGTGCATCTTAGAGATACCTGGTACAGGTTTGAAGAAGCGCATGAAAAACCGGTCCCACTCGCGCCAGACAAGACCCGATCCGGGTATCACTTGAGCTGCATTGCATCCAGCACTAGAATCCACTACATCAGCCAATTGAGACATAGAATACACATTGTTACGCCGATAACTCCGCTTGAGCAACCCGAAGCATCCGTCTACCAAGCAACGTGTATGACCGGTAATCATAAGGTGAATCTCAATGCTCTCATGCAAACCAGCAATGCATCGCCAAGCCAAATATGCAATCACAGTTTTGTTCTTATTCTGCCCACAGCAATTATCCGCAGCAAGAGCACACTCTTTCTCACCTAGCCCATGATGCTCGAAGTAGTGGTGCAACAGGGTGACGACACTGTTGGGTCCGTGGCTCTTGCTACCATTGGGACCAATGGTGTCGGTCTCATCTAGGAGGTAGTTGATCTGTGCTGGAATCGCTTCATTGTTGACCCCGGAGATTTGCACCTTCCGTGGCACTTTAAAGTAGATTGGACCAACTTGACGGAACTCATGCGGAATGCAAACATTCTGGGCAAAGTCAAATGTGTAATGTGTCTTTAAAAGCGCTGACGTGGAACATGGCTGCTGTGGTGCACTAGGTAGCGGCTGGATTGCCTTGAGTTGATCCGAGGCATTCTGAGTCAGTTTACGGTAGTGGTCTCGTTCTCGCTGAGCAGTAGCAATGTGATTAGATAGCAATGTGCATGCAGCCAGCTTGTCTTGTTCGGTGAGTGATGTCTTAACACCACGTCGTAGCACTTCACATCGGTCACAGACATCCGTGCGCGGTGTCATGAACAGGATGTGTGGCGTACATTGGTGCCAGACACTCCTGAACGATGACTCACCCATTACACGCACACCTGCTAGATTGTCTGCATTATAACAGGTAAATTGTTTTTTAGAGGGCGTTGTACTGTAGTAGCAAAAGTTCAACGGGGTCAACGCACTGTCACCCTGGTCACTAATTGTGGTGGACTGGACTTGTTCCCAAGGGAGTCGTAAACCTACGACTTTCTGGTGCATCTACTTGTACTTGTAGAACATGTACAACTGAATGGAATTTGATGCAAACAGGCGGATTATTCCAATTTTATGCGATTCGTATGCAATTTGACTCGAATTATGCGGTTATTCGATTTTGGTAGGAATTATGCGAAAAATTATGCTAGCATGATCTGTCAAGGCCTATTTTCAGAAGAATTTTGATCTTCTTTGCAGCAAACGTCCTCATTGATCTGCATCGCTTGTATTATACACCTGTGTGTACTCAGCGGCTTACTGCTTACTGCTGCTTAATGATGTTCCAAGTAACAGTTTTGTTTCGTTTACACATCTCTTATTATTTTTTTCTCACCCCACACCCCTCTACTCTGTTATCGTCCCTCTTAAAAGTTGTGTTCATCACTGTTGAGGCTTCCGATGGAAAATAAAAGAATACTACTACTACTACCTCCGACAAGCGAAACTTGGTGTCTTTTTCACTTCAAATTACTCGAAATCACTCACATGTGCACACTTTACAATCAACACTAAATGATTGACTCACCAAAGTACAACTTTGTATTGCTCAACAAGGACATTTGAGACATCAGTTCGGCTGAATAATACTCCTCAGATTCAAAGATCGCAGTTTCTTCTGGAGAGGAATTGTCCCTATTTTGAGGCGAAAGTGTGACTAGAGCGGATGATTCAGTTGCAGCAAGTACCTCTGTTGTTATCGCTCTGGAAATCTCGATGTAGCTCCTGTGAGCTGTGCTTGAGCCACGTTGTCGAGGGTCGTCATTTCCACCGCCACTATCCAGGTTGACGTGGTAAGAACTGTGCAACACCTCCACATGAGCCTGGACTCCAACCTTTTTGCTTGGTATTCTCGCCAACTGTCCAAAATTGCAGGCAGAAATTCCTGGCGATTTTCCTTAGCCACCAGAGATGCATCGCTCTGGAGGCCATTGAAAGACGCTAGGATTGTTTGGCATGGACTTCCATACGACTCTCTGCGGGCTGAGTGCTCAAGTGAAGAGAGAGAGAACTCCTTGGTTTTGCATTGAAACGCGAAAGCACGACGATTCTCCTTCGTAGAATGGACGCGGGCACTGTTGTGCTTGTACACAAGAGAGTGGCCTGCCTCTGACTAGTCTATCCATGTGCCAATCACCAGCTCGTCGCTTGGCTTCCTGCACCCGGTTGCATGGAGCTACCACAAGTAGGTCGTGCCTCACAGCCTTGTGAAGTTGTGGTACCAACAAAAAAAATCAAAAAAACGCGCCAAGTTTCGCTTGTCGGAGGTAGAACTACAGTTGCGCTCACTGAAATCCGACCCGAAGTGCAAAGCTGGCGCCTTGGACCAGTTCAGATTACATTATTGTACTTGTACATGTGTACGTCCAGCTGCATTCGTACGGCTTCCAGGGCATCAAGGCGTGCTAGTTGAGGGCATCAGCTTTGCAATTTGGGTCGGATTTCAGGGAGCGCAACTGTACTACTAACTGCGATACTGCAACCGGTCAAGTCGTGGGGTGACGCTTCGTTAGAATAATTCTATCTTCGCTGAATTACCGTTGCATTCAGACAGTGCGACATCGTGGCATTGCAGAAATGTCATTAGATTTACTGTCATTAGATTTACTGTTTTTTGAAAAAAACGTTATCGCTAGATTTCTGTGTAAAGATGCAAATACAGATCGGTGGCCAGGTAGCCATCGTTAAACTTTCTGCACGTACCGGTAATCATGCCAAAATTCCAAAAATCGTTACACGTTTTGGTCATTACACTAGGGAGGTTCCGGAGTTCGATTTTTCGTGCCAAAATCCGTGGAGGCTCTACGGATTTTTTATACGACGTTTTCGAGCAGTGAAAAGTTCCGGGGTACGGAACTTATGTGTTTGCCGTCATTGCCTAGGTTACGATCGCAAACACGTCACATTCCCGCGCTATGCCTTTTTATTTTGAAAATTTGTACCGAAATCAAAACTTCCCGCGAAGAATCGATGTTTCTCGTACCAAATTTGTACGCGAAAAATCTTTCTGCACCCGATGACGCAAAATCTCCATACGAAGTATCGTTCGTATGAAAGCCAGTCCACACGGATTCTCGTGCCGAAAAATCGTATGGAGCACGCCTGGAAAAATCCGTAGCGCCCATACAGATTTTGGCACGGAAAATCGTACCCCGGAACCTCTCTATTTTCTGGTTTTACAGTGGTATAATTATTTTATGATTTAAAGGATTTCCATCATTTTCATAATTTGAAAGCCAGATAGATTCCACGGTATTTCCACGTGGAGAACAATTGGATACAAAGGCGACTCACGTATCGAATGAAAGGAAATCTCAACAAAAGTTTTTCTTTGCAAGATAATGGCAATCGTATTTGAAGAGCCTATTGGCCAACTGGTAAAACGTAGGAAGTTTGTTAGGGCCTGGTCAGACTGCGGCAAAATCGAAATAATCCTAGGATTATAATCCGAATCTCCATAGTAACTTGCCACCAGAGCGGCAAAGCGGGAGTTGACGCTCCAAAAAAAGCAAGAACGGACCACGCTTTTCCGCTCCAAAAAGGATTTGACGCTGATACGCCATTGACGCTGATAATCACTGATTTGTTCATCTCGATATCGAGGAGCTTATTGGCCACGGACAGCAACAAAACTCATAAGGATGGTTGCAAGGATTGCACTGAAGGTGTTGGCGATCCCCAAGGAGAAGGATTTTGACTTCGTTCGTGGACGCTTGACGCTCGAAATGAAGTTTGAATTTTCACTCTCCCCATATGTGTAGTGTGATCGCGATTCAAATTCTGGACGCTGTTCTGTTTTCGTCAGGCAACCAAAATTTGCTGCAGTCTGACCAGGCCCTAAGTCCGTCAGTCGTTCTCGTACGCATTCAACCTTCGTGACGGTTTTGTACATTTTGCTGAATTGAAATAGACGAAAATAGTATGGACTTGCTGTTTTGGTCGTATTACTATTTGAATCTTTTAATAATTATCTGGAAACTGAACCTGTGGACGGAACTGTTTCGTCCTTTGTGGATGCATCACCGCAGCACAGAGAACACGAGACCGAACCTGATAGCAATGAAAAATTATTTTTTCAAAGCCAGATTTAAACCAGGCCCGAACATCCCCATATAGAGAGAAAGAGAGAGGTAGGCGAACAACATTTATAATTATACACACAACAACACGGTTTTTAATTTCCTAATACCAAACGCTTTTCACCAAGAGTACATAAACCAGAGTGTGCAACTCGGGATGGTTCCTGTGGGAGCGTAATTCGTGCACTACGTCATTTCTGACGGCATGGTAAGCCACAGGTACGGTGAAAAGTTGCGTAACCAGTCGCGGTGGTGCAGTTCACTGAGTTTGTCCTGATTTCGGTTTTTTGAGACGGATAGCCTGGTGACTTTACTTGTCGGTGGATGTACGCAGCGTACACAGTCACACAAAACACCGAAATCCTGAAACAGGACGTCTAAAATCAAGCAAACTTGGCTGATTTCCGGGCTATGAAACATGAAAATTTGAGCTGTACGCAAGTCGCGGCTTGGCTGATCTCATCAGGGTGACGTAGTGCACGAACTGCGCTGTTTCAGATCTGATATGCACAGTTGCACACTCTGGTTTATGTACTCTTGTTTTCACCCATAACGCTTTTCACCCATTTTCATCAGTGGTAACATGGGAATGAGGAAGAACGAAAAAAGCCAAAATTTATCCAAGGGGTGAAGAATCAGCAAGAATGTTCTGCTGTGGCTCAAGTTCACACTACACTACCATAAGAATGTATGGGGCAGTGGAAACATGCGGGAAACAACACCTGAAGGGAATGCAGCACAAGAACACACATCCGACGGTCACAGGTCTTCACATACGCTGGGACTTGTCTTGTGGCACTAGAAATAAAATGAATTTGCTGTGGCGGAGTGTGACCTATAAAATGCGTGTGCTAGCCTGCTGCCGGCAAGTGTAATGTGCTCTCTTCTGGTCACAGGAAAATCTATCGCTTCTATTGACTTGTTTTTCTTGGGAGACCTTCCTCCCCTTCTCTGTTCCTTCCCCTTCTCTGTTATAACAATAAGTATGAGGGAGTTGAAATCGGTTATGTATGTTTGTTTTCTGCAGGACACCATTGCCTTATTCATTGCAATTTGCTTGGCATTTCCAAATCCCATTCCAGCATCCGATGGCGTTAATCACACAAATCAATGTATGTACGTGTTATAGGGCAAGCATTCGTGCTGATCTGATTTGACCCATCCGGCAAGGTAGCCAGCAATGGGAGCATTTGGTACTATCAATTTCAGTTATTTGGCTCTCCATTGTCCCAAAGAGGTCCGATCCTTTTCAAACTCTGCTATGGGATATATGGCACCTTACGGATTATCGCCATCATAATATTGGGCACCATTGCCCGTTTGGTCTGCGATACAAAATTAATTTCAACGACAAACAACAACCGGTATCACCGACTGAAAGAATCGAGTGTGAAATTCATTGTTGCCCAGAAACAAGAAGATAAATTTAATTGTAACATGGAAATTGTGGGCAATTTCCATGTTACAATTAAATTTTTTCCTTGGTTCACCATCTGAGTAGTTCTTAAAGAAACAAAAAAGAAGTAAATTGTTTTTTTCCCATCTACTCACATACAAAGGCTATCTCTCTGGCGTCATAAATACAGACGCATTGCGCTTGACCCGGGTTGAAATTTCGCCCCGGGTTGATTTCAACCCGGGTCGAAGAAATTGTACTAACGTACGTCTATGCGTATCTCGCGCCAGGTTTGAATAGCAGTACAGAGGCAAATTTCGCGCGAAAGTATTCACGTGATCATACAGGACTCTAGACTCTAGGCCATGACGTTACCATACTGCTCGCGGCTCTTTGTTTCCAGAAGAGCGTCAACCCTTGCGTACAATGCCGATGCCGCCTTCCATATTCGTCCACTTACCGCCATTATCTCTGATATTGCCGACCCACCCAAGTTGGGTGGTTTGTTGCTTTGCTGCTTCGAATTGTAGTCAGACCGAATTGTCATGTTATTAACTGGTCTCGTCATTGTCCTGTAACAGTCGGCATTCTTTGTTGCCGCGGGACTTAGCTTGTGCACATTTTCGGTGCGCTCACCTTCCCCTCTTCGGTCCGACGTAACCATGAACCTTCCAAGTTGGAAGGTTGTTGGTTTGCGCACTGGAGATGTGTTAGAACTTGGTCTCGGGTCGCTGAATGTCTCAGTAGCCTATCAGTTTTGTGCCCTATTATCGCACTTTCTGACCGTTTATAACAGTCTTGGATAGTTGCTGCACAACCCGTTCTCATGTGTTTCTTCTCCTTTTTACATTTTATTATTGGCTCAGTGTCCGAGTGCTCTTTATATTAAATTAAATGGAATCAAGGAAAACGGTGATTGGGAAAATGTTTACCAATTTGCACGGATTACATATGCAGTCAGACCTCATAATCCAGTCCTCTTTTAACCGGATCTCAAGCCATCCGGAACAATATCATTGGTTATCGGTTCACAGCATTATGTTATCTTGATGACATGCATACATACATACATACATATACATTATGTGTGTTCGATTATCCGGTTACCTCGCCTACCCGGATATTTTGTGGAAAAAGGATGTGTGCAGTTATGCGAGGTCTGACTGTACATATTTCATGTGCCCTTGTGCAGCGATTCCCGGCTACTGCTCTCCGCTACTTGTCCAGAACGGCAGCATTGAGAACGGCACAGGGGCATACTTGGGGACGATGGCACTGCTCGCATGCGATGTAGGCTTCGTTCCAGCCGATGGGGTCACAAACTTCACATGCAATGCTTCAAATGAGATGCACGGTAACTGGAGCGGATTGCCAGCCTGCCAACGTGAGTACAGTATACATTATAGCAATAAAAACTGCTTTATGGCAGTTTTCTAAAAAAAGTTATTGTGTTCTAGTCCATGGACCCTGTCTAAAAAGTAAGAAATTAACGAAATGTGATAGCCGAAAATTAAAATTTCACACAAAACCTCACAATAATCACAACACTTGAAATGCTGCTTTCAACACTAAACTTGTACTGCACCAACAATTGGCAACATGCATGCATAGGAAAGAGGATCACGAGGAGAAAAGGTCTTCTACGGTACATGTAGCTTTTCATTCTGTGTGTGATTATTGTGAGGTTTTGTGTGAAATTTTAATTTTCGGCTATCACATTTCGTTAATTTCTTACTTTTTAGACAGGGTCCATGGACTAGAACACAATAACTTTTTTTAGAAAACTGCCATAAAGCAGTTTTTATTGCTATAATTTCTTTTGTTTTTTTTCTGTCACCAATCAATGGAATGCCCTATATCAATATGTAAATGATGGCCTTCACATCAATAACGTATTATACGCATGATGTGCAAGCCTTTTCTTGCAGAAAATGGCACTAGCATAATGCATGTTCTTCGGCAGGGAAACATGTGAGTCGTGGTCTGGTTGTGGTGATACTTTTTTTTATACGGAGGTCATTCTGTGCATGTTGCAACTTGCTGTTGCAGAATTTCATGACTCTGTCATAAAATTGTCTTGCCTTTCAGATTTCCCCACCCTCGATCAGATTTATTTGAGAAATGTAGCCAGGTGCGTGTCGCAGATGTTTTTGTTGATTCTGTGTTTATAATGGTTTATCGTCATAAGGTCATCCTGCATCATATTGCACTGAAATGGTAATCCTGTTGATAGCGATACAACTTTTGGAAGTAGTTCAATGACTTCAAACTGTTAGTCCACGATTTTCTAAATCAACACAGCAAAGGAGGAACAATAAACATGTATTAAAATGTAAACGAATACATTGCTGAGTCCAAAACCTCGTTCCAACAACTACACTGATCCTGAGGATAAAAGGGGCAAGGCTATGGTTGGAGGTACTGAGAGATAAACAAGGCACTCCGCAATAATAAAATCTTACACATATTTTGGTGAGTATGAATGATATCCAGTCGAACCTCTTTAGGACGAACACCAAGAGACCGATAGTATTTATTCTGTGAGTTTGTCTCAACCTATTTTATAACCAGTGAATACAATTATTTCTCCAATAGACATACGAATAGATTTCTTGTACAGCGAAAGATTCTAAGCCACACCGACTCATTGACTCGTCTCGTATGAAACAATTGAGTCACTAGAGAGATTCTGCAAAACGAAAATGCGTACAAACTTTCGCTCTACATCACGTTCCCTGCGAAACTTGCAGGGAACGCGAAATGAACTGTCGTAGGAAATTTCGTGAGATCGGGTCATGGCGTACGTGCACTTGGCCCGCGCAAACTACGAAAATGTGCAGAACTCAAAGTTCGTGAAAAAATTCGCACACACTTTCGCAAGGACTGTCGCGAAACTTCGTTCGAATTTTCGTTTTGTAGAACCTCTCTACTGAGCCTTTTAACGGCAACTGAAACAGCAACAGAGAAAGTACGACACATGTACTCCACATTCTTACAGGTACTACAAACAGATTGCAGATCGTAATTCTTGCTTTGGCGGCACGAAACTTTATTTGGGGCAGTGCAATCTCGGCGGTACTCACAAATCAAACAGCCCAGACTCGAGTAAACAAATCCAATCATACAGGTACGAGATTTTCACGAGACGAGACTGCACCCATTGGATTGTTTCGTATGAAACAAACAAGTTACTGAACCTCTCCACAATAGAGATTTCCCCTGATATGCGAATTTATTTTGCAAACTCGGTCAATTGGTACTTGAACCTTTCCCTCCAGATTGGGAACTGCCAACGATAGTATGCCACTGACCAGTGCCTTACTTGTAACGTGCCAATGTACAATGAATATGAGTATTTCTGTAATGGTAGCCGAGTGGTAGGCGCGGTGAAATCAACAAGAATTACTTTTATTCTACTTTCAGGTACACACCTGAGATATAATCGTTCGTGAAAGAAGAAGCGGCAAAATAAATAACTTTCTCTCCGGTGCTCACCTAGAGGCTGAATCCTTATTCTTCGAGTTAGCTTTCATTGCTATCCAATCTAATCTAATCTAATCTTCATCAAAACAGAAATGCGCAGCCGCTTTTATGCAGCAGACGACGTACGCTTACATACGGAGATACACTAAATATACATCAGGCAAGCTCCGTATTAGTTCCGTACTGCATCCGTATTGGTCGGGCAGGGATACTACACCCTCCCTTCCTACAGATAATCACGCCCTCGTGATTTTCAAAAAATTAGTGAGGAGTTACGAACACAGCGTCAACCGGAAGATGGCAAATAATATATCGGAAATGATAACGTTTAGAGTAGACAGAAGAAATGAACTGATAACAAATCATAAAGTAGAAGTAAAAGCACACAAGGTTCACACGATCTCACGGGGTCAAAAGGGAAAGAACTGTCCTCCAAATAGGACCTGAAATCACAGCACTCTTGCTGCACTACGCTGGCACAACCCGCCAGGAACGTCGCAGTTCAAAAACCGAACTGAATACACTATAACTATAAGGGGCGTTGTCACACACATTGTCCCACGTTAGCTGGGTAAACCGTGGCTCACCATGATCAGACGTTTACCAAACTAAACTGGATTCACACACTCGCATAAAGGAAGACTGAAAAGAACAGGGAGACTGAAGGAAGAGAGGAAAGAAAATGCCATACCTAGAATCAGCGTTAGTAACCACGGCGGCGGCTGGAGCTACGGCGGAGAGCAAGCCAGGTTTTATCTTCATCTTGGTTGAGCCGGTCACCCAGAGCGGCTAGCTCGGCGTCAGACAAATGACCTCCCTCCTCGTCTTGAATCGTGGTCTTCACATTGTCGATAGCATCACTTTGCGCGACGTAAAGAGTGATGGTCTAGCCAGGAAGAGTGTTGACGAAAATCTGCATTGTTGTTGTTGTAGAAGTTTATTTAACGTCGCACCACAAACAGGCGATTTCGCCTCCTTTGATACATGTGGACGACAGAAGGAATGAGAGAGAGGGGGGGGGGGACAGAAGTATGAGGAAGAGAGGAAGGGTTGAAATAAATAAGCAATCAACCTCAGGGCTACACCAAAGCAAAAACGGAATGGGAACATACTATATACAAAATAGCTTCATACATATATTGCAAAACACGTTTACTATTCTTCAGTCCGCTATACCACAGAAACACACTAGCCGAAAAGCATTTAAACGGAGCCATGATGCGCTTTTAGCAGGGCACAGAACTGAAGGTGGCTGGGCTCGGAACGGAGATCAGGCGGGAGCTGGTTCCACAGGACTGCGCCGATGAACTGCATGGTCGCTCGACCCGCAGGACCGGGCCAAAATGGTACTCGAACGAGGTGATGTGCTGCTCCCCGAGTGCGGTCACCAGTAACTCTCACGAAGAAGCTGGTGAAGAGGGAGCTAGCTCGGGAGAACAGACAACGACGGACAAAGATGAGGAGCTTAATGTTAAACATGTCCTCCAGGGTGGTGAGGCGGAGCTGTTCAAAGATCGGGCTCGTGCGCGACCACGGTGGCAGACCGAAGAAGCCGCGGATAGCGCACTTCGTTAGACGTGTGAGGGGCTCCATGTTGCCAATTTGAAGTGACGGATAAAAGGCGTTGGAAGCGTACGACAACCTACCCTGGATCATCGACCTGTAAAACAGGATCTTTGACGCCAGGGTGAGGCTTCGGCGGCTCCGCCACAGCGCACCTACTGACTTCCGCACCTGCTGGATTGTGTGATTGACGTGAGGCTCCCAGGAGAGCTGCCCATCTACCATTACGCCCAGGTACCGCGCTTGTTCCACAACTGCAAGGGCTGCATTCCCACAGCGAATTCGAATGTTATCTGTGTCAGGGGCTGGGCCTCTTGGGGTAATCAACAGAGCTTGCGTTTTCTTTTGGTTCAGCATTAGTCCGCGGTCCTCCAACCACTGCGACAGGCCAGTGATGGCTGTGCTTAGAGAAGAGCACACTTGTTCGCAACTGCCCGAGGCTTCAATTGCAATGTCGTCTGCAAATTCCTGGTTTGTGACCTGCTGGGGCAAGCAGCATCGAAGGTTACGGATGTATAGTGTGAACAGGAGGGGGCCGAGGACGGATCCTTGCGGCACCCCTCGACTGCATGCGACGTATTCCGAGCAATTTCCGCCCACGACTACGCGTTGAAGCCGCTCACTCAGGTAACTAGTGAACCATAGCTGGACAGTACCGCCGACCCCAATGTCGGATAGCTCCTGTGCCAAGATGGTGTGTTTGACACAGTCGAAAGCCTTCGACATATCCACGAATATCACACCTGTGAGTTTGCGCTCATACTTCGCTTTCAGCCAGCGATTGACAGCAAGCACAAGAGCGTCCTCCGTACTGTGGTTCTTCCTGTACGCGAACTGCGAGTCAGGGAGAATACTGTGATCGGTCAGAAAGGATGTAAGCTGAGCTTTGACGATCTTCTCGAGGAGGCGAGAAACGACTGGTAGTAGAGAAATAGGTCGATACGCAGTAGGCTGACAAGGGTCAAGGCCGCCACCTTTGAATAGCGGCGACACATTAGCAATTTTAAACTGACGGGGAACACACCCCTGACATAACGAAGTATTGAAAATGATGCTGAGCGAGGGAGCCAGTATTGATGCCGAGTTTCTAAGGACAATACCCGGCAAGTCATCATGTCCAGTTGCTTTTGACGCGTCAACGGACTGGAGAAGGGCCGTATTGTCCTCCGTCGAAACAGGCGCAAATTCCGTGAATGCTGGTGCTTCACGTTCGGCTGGTGCGTTGGCGCACAGCGCGTCTGGTCGTCCAGGGTCATGTACAACTTCGCCAAAAGTTCGGGAGAGGATTCCAACAGGTACTTGTGGTGGGCTTGAACTTTTCGCTCGTCCAGTCACCAC